CAGTGAAATATATTTATGTTTGTGGTTGTAATGTGACAAAATATGGAAAAGTTCAAGGGGTATGAATACTTTTGCAAACCACTGTAAGTGTTTTTATTAATTTACTGGGTCATTTATATATTTCTGCTTTATTTCTAATCATGTCAGTGTCAGCCCTTCATGTACAGTATTTTTAGCAATAACTCAAATATGTACGCCACATCTTTCTGTGTACACATCAAGGTGTCAAATGGCTGAATCATCAACACACACTAGACTGACGGAGCCGTCTCCCCTCTGATTTTATCTAGGTGCCATTTCTTATTTTATTTTGTTTTCTACAGATATCAGCACAACGCCGCTGCCGACAGTGAGTGTTGCTGTTTTCCTCTCGTCACCCCTCGCTGTTTGTGTAACCGAGTTCTGCCTTTTCCGGTTATTGTGCGAGGGCAACTGAGAGGTGGTGCGGGTGAGGAAAAAGGGGGTGGGGGGCTTGGACGTGGCTAATTGCTGGAGTCTGGCAGCCCAAATATCTGGGACGCGCACAAGTTTTGGACAGGCTTCAATCTGTTGGTGGCAGATCAGTGTGAGGAAGAAGGGCTCAGAGTGTATCTAAATAGAGTGACACCACCCCCCCACCCCCACCCCGTCTCTCTCTCTCACACACACACACATACACACACACAGAGTCCACTGGGGGTAAATTTTTGAGCATGAGCGAGACAGACTGACTGACCAGAGGCAACCAATATTTTCCACTTCAGTCAGAAGTAAACGGGATGCAGTGAGCAAATTAGATTGGCACGGGAAAGTGTGGATAACTCAGCTATAAGAAAGTACACAATGAGTGACAATAAAGTGTGACGGAAAACAGCTGGAACAGATAAGATGAAGAAGAAAAGTGTGTGTATGTGTTGGGGGTGTTAAAGGGGTTCTGGGTTTAAATGACTTTAATCCACAATATCCAGGTCACTTCCCCCTCCAGCTCCACACCCATCGACGGTCCCCCTTAAATTCCACTTGAAATCGAAAGACAGCAGAGAGGACGGGGCGGCCTCGGAGGAAGCAGGAGCAAAAGGATGTGAAAGGACACAAAGTTTTGACCTAATGTGCAAAGGGACGAGAGGGAAAGAGAAGAAATGCTGGGAGATGAAGGCAGGAAGAGGAGGGGGTGGGGTGAGGGTGGGGAGACCCAAAATAGAGTGACAGGAGAGAAAGCGGAAGGGAAGAACGAGGCCGAGGCGACTCGAATGAGACGGTGAAGTTGAGACGAGAAAGAAAAAAAAGCACGTCATTCTGCCTTCCTCTCTCACGGAATCTCTCATCCTCTGAACCATTCAGGGTGAGGGAGGAAGAGGAGGACGTGTCTGAGAGGGAGTAGATGGGAAAAAGAGCAAAAAGTCAAGGAGAGGTGTCAGAAATGGGGTAAAGTGCCGAGAGAGGGGAGGAAAAAAGACAAAGGGGGAGGCGGACCTCCTGTGGAGCATCATCCACCAGCCTCCACCCGACTGTCTGCTGTTGCACCAGAGTGTTACTCCTAATTCCTAATCGCCGTTAATCCCTCCGCCACCCACCATCTCTGTTTCATCCCCATCCCTCATTACCCAACAGCCCTGTTCCACACAAATAACGCTGGAGCTGCTGCACCCGTTTCTGTTCAGCAAAAACAACGAAGAGTCTGGAAAACTGCTTGATTAGAAAAATTGTCCCATGTAGGTCCAAATTCTCCACAACTCCMATAATGAAACACAAACACCTCACATTATTCATGTGAGCCCAGAGAACTGCTAATAAAAGCTACTTTTTGTAACGATTTTAAAAAAAGGATGTAAATAAAAACGGAATGGAATTTCATTTCAGCATAAATTTGAAACACTGAAAATATAAAAAGACTTTAAAATCCAGCTTCTATCAAAATTAATGGTTCATTTAGATTATGGTGGAAACGCTGCATGATGCTAACGAGACAACGCTGTAGGACATAACTACAACACTACGTCCTGATAAACCGAAGCTGAAGGCTTGTGCACTGAGAAAAGACGGAGGAAAATAAACATTGTACAATTCCAATAATTTAGAGATTTTACTTTGKTGTACATGAAAAAATAATGAGTAAATGCTAACAGTGAGCAGCTTTGACCAACAGTCTCAGGCAGCACTGAGTGAAAAGCAGAACAAAAGAGAAAACTGAAATGTCAAAAACTCCTCTGACTGTAAGAAATAAACAGAATGCCTACAGGCAGAGAAGGAAAGTTTGCAGTCAAAAGACAGGAAGTCTCTGACAAGTTTTCAGTTGAATGCATGGCTGCAAACAGATAATATGAGTGGAGAAACTTGGTCTTCATTTTAGGTGGCAGACTTGGATCACGAGTYCAGATGCTGAACTGGCCTGCTGGTTCAGACCTGTCAGCCTCCAAACAGCAATGTACGTGTGCACAGTAGTAACCTCACAGGTCCTATGATGTTGGCAGCAAATTAAACCAATGTGTTATCTAGGGACTAAACCAATAATCTATAAGTCATAGCACTAAACGGTCAAGTGTTACAGCTTTTATTTTGACGGGTTGCTGCCAGCGGAAGTGGGGCAGCTTCGTGTCAAACAAGCTAAAACTTTAATTTGTTGTGAAACTTCTGGGACAATAATGGCAACGTTTTTCAGACCTGTTAGTTTATTATTAAGCCGTGGAGGAAGATGACAAGAACCTTGACAAAATTGAGGAAGATGAGCAAATTGGCAGAGAACTGAAGGAAAAGAGAATGCGGTTAGCATGAATGCTAGTATTAAAGTGTGACGGAAACATAAGCTGTGGCTATGTTTAAATTCAGGGGCTTTGTCTTTCGAGGTCATGTCACAGCGATGAGGCAAAGGCTGTCCAAGTTCGAAGACTCCTCCGAGTGCAGCCCATAAATGCACCCTCCTTTTCCTCCAATTTAAGGACTGGGGCCGATGTATCCTTCTCAGCCCACCCAATCCCAAGGTGCATTGCAGGCCAAACGGGAGATTTTTTTTGGTTTTGGCTTGTATTGAAGGACAAAGCTAGAGACAGGAGTGTAGTTTAAATTAAATATTTGGCAGTATGTTGTTAGGCTGTTGTCAATGGCACGGACATGTTTTTTTTAAATATTATTCTTGTCAGAAATTATCGTAAACAAGCTCTTATATGGGGGAGGGGCCTTTAGTCCTTCATGTACTGTCTCTGAGCTGATTTTGTTCATTTCTAATATTAATATATGAACTATTTGCTAATTTTGATCTGTTTTCAATCTTCATTGCTTCTGTTTAGCGTCATCATGGTTTGCTAAAGTCGACAGGATATGTGTCTGGGAGAGGGCGGAAATAAAGCTGAAGGCAGATTCACAGCCACTTTCCTTTGGTTTTCCTGGTTGCCAAAGGACTCAAGCCCACATAGAGCATGCTGACCGGGTCCTTCGATGGACGCAGCCCCAGGATTYGGACAAAGCCTGTCCCAATTYGTGGGCTCCTTCTCATGCGGCCGACGAATGTGACCCACAAAATTCCTAAACTGAAGGCTGCATCTGAGTATCAATACAGACTGAAGATATCCCAGGATTCATTGGGTCTCCTGTAATGAATTTCCAAACTACACGGACTTAGTAAAAAAAATAAAAATAAAAAATAAAAAATAAACTATGTTGTTGACAACATTTTATTTAACACCTCATTTTTTTGTTGTGTATATTTGTTATGTATTTTTTGTTTTTAATGCATATAAATTTTTTTTGTTTTAAATGAAATGAATAAACTAACTAACTAACTAACTAACTAACTAACTAACTAAATTTATATTGAAACCAAATTATTGTGTAATGTTTTAATTGTGAAGTAATTCCTCCAGTGAAAGGACAGGTGAATGCATGTCCAAACACATTTTAGGTGGGAAGCCACGAGATAAAATGGGGTAGTGGGTGGTCACGCAAACATACATCATCCAAAAGCTAAACCATCTCATTTCACAGCAGTTTTATGCAGCCTACCTGGACYGCAAAGGTTGTGGCCCCTGCGAGCCATGGGCTAGGCTAGCTGGAGCCCCTGAATTGGGACAAAGCTAAAAACTAAGATACTGTATGTGGTAAATCACAATTGACATTTTGCACATACTAGAAGGAAATGTACTCAGTGTCCCAGCACAATAAGAGCATGCAGTACAAGATAACAAGTATAGCTCTGAAATAAAGACAAAAACCATAATTGTAAAGCACAAAAGAAGAGGTAGGATCGGTTCAGGTTCATCGTCAACAAGATGGCAGTATGGCATAAATTAGATTCGAATGTTATTCAAGTCATCTGTTGAAAATTCCTGTATTTCTTCATATCGTAACATATATCGCAGGATGATAAAAAAATGACTCATTTTTTTCCCTTAGTTCTGTTGGTGTTTTAGTGGTGTCAGTCAGTTCCAGAGTGCTGCTGAAGCTGTCACATTTACAACACACTGACATTTCACTGTTCAAACAGTTCCCATCTTATTGACATTAAATAAAAAGATATTCAAAAACATCTCAGTGTCCCAGTTTTGGGAGGAAATAGGGGTTGTGCTTAAATTATTTGTGTTTCCAAACGCTGACAATAAAGTTCAATAGTTTCATCTCATTCCCTTCTGAATAACTTCTTTAAAAATGGATGCAGTCTCTTTAAAACGTCTCATTGTTAATGGATGAGATTTTATGTTGTTTATCTAAACTATTTAATAAAAATAAAACTGAAAAACAGACAAAGGGTGACGTCAGTCTGTTTCATTCTGTTTTTGGCCAGCCGTGTCCAGTTTTTAAACTAAAACAGAAAATGACAGATGTCAGTTTTTATCAAGGTGCCACCAACCACTTCCTCTCCCACGTAAACTGTCAACAAACATGGCTCCCATAAAACTGCTGCTGGTGCTTCTCTGAAATAGAGAAGTGAACAGTCTGCCAGAGGAGCTATAATGGGAAGGGGAGCTGGGTAATTAATGGAGTGAAATGGAGCTGTGAGCATTTTTATTGACAGCCGTGTGTGAACTGACCAGAGAAGAGGTCTCCGTTGCTGTAGGCCTTACCGCGTCCCTCCTCGTCGCTGGGCACGGCCGACACCTGCTTGGCCGAGGTGCAGCCCATGACCTCAAACTCTGAAACTCCTCCTCATCGCACTCGCACCTGGGCAACAASAGAGAAAAGACCTGTTCTTAACTTGGTGAAAATCACCTGGCACTTTTAATTACCTGCCACTGAAAGGCGATGGCAGGCAGTAATGTATATGTGTCTGTTAGCAAAATATCTCGTGAACCATCAGATGGATTTTAATAAAACTTTCAGGAAATAATCATAGGGTGTATATCTACAACTGAATTGCTTTTGGAGCCAATCCAGTTCAAGATGGTCACTAAATCCAAGCAACCTTGAAAAACACAAATATAGTTCTAATTCTCTCAGTTTTACAGACTTGACGTTAAAATTTGACGTGTCAGACATAACATATACTGTACTTCAGTGCTACTCATTTAACAAAATTTTTTTGCTTACAACTTCAGTATTAACATTCGGAATTAACCCTGTTTGTCTGTTAGCAAAATATCTCGTGAACCATCATATGGATTTTAATGAAACTTTCAGGAAATAATCACTGGATGCAATTCTACAGCTGATTTACTTTAGGAGCCAATCCAATTCAAGACGGTCACTAAATCCAAGCATCCTTAGAAAACCAAAAATAGCTCTAATTCAGTCAGATGTACAGAGATCATGTTAAAATTTGGGGTGGTAGCAGCCAAGAGTCAAAGAACTGCTACCCATTAAACAAGATGTTTTTTATGAAGATGTCAGTATTAGCAGACACACACACACTGAGACTGTTCTTAATGTTATTTTCAAGGTTCAGTCAAAACGTCTACAGCGCGGTCATTTTTCACATTAGGGGATTTTAGTCTAAACTCTGGTATGAAAACTGGCAGGCGATATGCATTCCTTTAATGGTAAGCCTTTAATGTTTGTTTTACACTGCAATTTGCAGACATTATTCACTCAAGTCTTGATAGAAGCAGCTCTTCTTTTTTTTTTTTTTTTTTTTTTAAACTGACTAAAACATTTTATTGAAAAAGCCACATAATAAATTGACTTCCATCATTTTTGTCTAGTAAAATGTGGCAGGGAAAGCCTGACATCCGGCAGGACAGCTGACACAAAGCTGTGAACACTGCTGTCAGTCCCTCGCACCAACACATCACACACACTGTCATGGTCCGATACCGTCTGCCAGTTAGAAAACTGCTCACACACACTTAAACACGCGCACACACAGGGGAGAATTATCCGAGGGGCCCTTTTGAAGGTAGAGCCAGACAAAAGGAGGCAAGGGTCAAGAAAGAGATGGACAATAGGTGGGATGAGAGAAGCCACGGGGGGAAACAGACGAGTGCAGACCTTCAAAGGCTCGCCGCCTGCCCCTCCTTCCTCGCTCAGAGCGTTTGAAGTTTACAGGAGGACGATGTTTAGTCCTCCATCTCTCTGCACAAAGCACCAGGTGTACAGAGCTGCTAACACATCCATCCTCAAAACACACACACACACACACAAACACACACACACACACACACACACACACACACAC